TGAGATTTTGACTTGGGAGGTTTTTTGACCTCTGCTAACCCTTTTTCTTTCTCCTAAATCTTACCAAATTATTATTCCTAAAACTGCCCTGACAGGCAGATCACTCTTTTGGCAGCTATTTCAGGAACCACCCCTAAATTCTGTATTGTTTATGGTCAGATATATTTTTTATTTTGGAATACTCCCCACTCTGACTCACAGGGCAAAGAGAGACCAAGGCCACAGCCACCCTTGAGATCTGAAGCTTGACCAAATGTTAGAATGCTTGTTTGCTTCTTTTGCAACCAGCAGGGATGTAGGGATTCATTGGTGCTTTTGGTTTTTATCTCTTTTTTATTTACAAGTTCAAGGTAGCGTAATGTCTATGTGAGATAGCCAGGGCAGGATAAACAGAGATTGACCCAGAGTAACAGAATAACAGAATAATAAAGTTGAAAGAGGCCTTGAGGTTTTCTAGGCCAACTACCTGTTCAAGCAGGAAACTCTTATCCATTTCACTCAAATGGTTGTCCAATCCCTTCTTAAAAGCCTCCAGTGTTGGAGCACCCACAACTTCTGGAGGCAAGTCTTTCCACCGATTAATTGTTCTCACTGTCAGGAAATTTCTCCTTAGTTTTAGGTTGGGTCTCTCTTTCATTAGTTTTCATCCATGGTTTTTAGTTCTGCCTTCAGGTGCTGAAGTCCACACATCTTAAAGTCCCTAAGGTTAAGAAAAACTGCTCTAAAGTTTGGCCTCTTGAGGTTACAGACATATGTCAGTGTCTGTAAAGTGTTTCTGACATTTAGGGATATATTAACAAAGGATCCATTATGTATATGTTTGTATGTTTGCACATTCACTGATTACCTTGTTATTTGTATGGACACTGAGAGCTTATACACCAGAGACAAATTCCTTGTGTGTCCAATCACACTTGGCCAATAAAGTATTATTCTATTTCTATTATTTTTATTTCTATTCACCCACAACTCCAAGAACTCAGGACATATTTTTTTTAACTGAAACCCCAGCTTCTCAAAAAGTCTCTTCACTTCGTCTATAGGTTCTTGGCAGATTATCAGCCTAGTTTCAGTCCCAGACTTTGTCACCGATCAATCATCCTTAAATAGTAATAATAATAATAATAATAATAATAATAATAATAATAATAATAAAAAGTTGGAAGGGATCTTGGAGGTCATCTTGTCCAACCCCCTGCTCAGGCAGGAAACCCTATACCATTTCGGACAAATGGCTGTCCAGTCTCTTCTTTAAAACTTCCAGTGTTGGAGCTTCACTGCTTCTGGAGGCAAGTTGTTCCACTAATTAATTGTTCTAACTGTCAGATTGTTCCTAGCAACTGGAAGTTTTTAAGGGTTTCAAAACTCAGCTTGTCTGAGTCAGCTGGCACGGAACTAGAGAATATATGACTCGATCTCTTTTGCTTGTTGTTGCACAGGAATGCAGCTCCAGGGAGATGGCCTTTCTTCCCCCTTTACAACTAGGTTGGCGACTTGTATCTTGTCAGGATGGGAGTGGCTGTCAGCCAGAAAAATAGCCTCAACTTATGCCTAGGACAGCACAAACCACTGGGCTTGAGCGGCAATAAAACTCTATAGATTCAAAGCTCATTTAAAACAAAAATCAAGGAAGCATTCTCACCTACTACTCCACAGCTACTATCACTCCGACCGGTGCAAACCAATCTTCCTCATTTATCAGTTGGAAGGCTCAGATCAAGCAAGCTCCCATTGGCACTTGCACAACATCTGCTCAACAACTTTAACAATGAATCCCAATGGAAAGCTAAATGGGTCGCTGAACGCCCAATCATAGGAAGACATATAAATGACCCCCCAAATAAGTGCCAGGCTTTGAACTGCCATGTCAGCCAGGGACCGTCCTGATTAGGATTTCCACCTCACACAGCGTCTGCCGGGAGTCTCCGTATAAATGGGGCAGAGTATCCTCCCCTCAGTGTGACTGGGATGCAGCATCATGACCGACTGTACGTTGAGGATATATACCGATCCAGTATCTGATTTTTTTCATATTAAATGATGTGCTTTAATGGTTAGATGGTAGACATTGGTAGTTCAATATAGGTCTTTTTAACATTCATATTTTATTGGGTTTTTTTAATCTAGGGGAAATGTTAATATACTGCAACTCCATGTATAACATGCCATATGCTAAATAAATATCCCACAGCATGGCTGGCTATACCTAGCCTGGGTTCTGAAGAGCTGCTATCTCCTAAGCAATGGGATCTTAAACCAGAGGCCTGCACAGCTGTTTTTTTTCCTTTGGCAACAGTTCCCATTAGAATTTCATTGTGACCTTGGTTGATCTATGTCAGACATGTCAAACACAATCCCGCAAAGTGGTTTCATGTGGCCCGTGAAGCCATCCTGGAAACAGTGAGGGAACGGCCCCTGCTGCCTTGGCCCTGGCCCAGGCCGGCCAGGAGCCAATGTACATAGATGGTGGCCATCTATGCTGAAACACATTCAGTCTTAGCTCCACAAGGCAGTCTGGAACCAGCGAGGAACCAGGCCCTGCCGCTTCAGCGGGTGCATGCTGGGGAGGTGTCACCCTTTGTGAGGAATGAAGAAATGCATCATCGCCTTGAAGTGGCCAGCATATGGCCCTTGCCTACTTCACATATCCGGCTTGATGGGCTCCAGGGGAGGGGTTTCAGCAGGCAGTGAGGCTCCTCCAGTGGACCATGCCTTGGCGCTTGCCCCGGTCCCACCCCCTTCTGCCAGAGACCCTCAGATCTGTCCCATCCCTGCCCAGACCCCCACAAGCACCCTTGACGCGAATGATGTAGAGCTGGCCATGCCCACTCAGTAGGCCACACCCACTCTGTCCACACCCACCCAGTAGGCCACACCTACCCTGGCCACACACCCCCGCAATGCTGATACGGCCCTCAATGAAATTGAGTTTGATACCCCTGATCTACGTTGTGGAGTCAAATGTGGTTTGCTACACGTCATTGCTGTCAGCTGGGCCTCCTCTGATTTGATCTGACCTGAATTAATTCCCTGTTCCACATATCAGTGTATGATATTAGCATCTGCTCAGCTTTGGACAGAGTTTTCCCTTTTTCCAAAGAGTGATAAAGTTATTTTCTTTTCACCTTCCACTCACCTGTTTTGTTAAACTATCCCTGATGGCAAATTGCTGGCCATCATCCCAAATTCAGGAAAAGTTCAAATGAAGTTGCTTTGGCCAAACGTGTAACATGGGTCAAGGAGATGAGAGTTCCTTTAGGTCTTGGGCCTGTCTGGTTCTTGGAAATTAGAAGAAACTTCTCACCCAGTTGAGGTCTAGAAGGGCACATATACATCCAGGAGCTCAGTAGGGGCTGGACTCAAAGGGGACTTGGTAGGTGTGCACTGGGAAAAATCAAGAAGACAAAGTAACAGGCAGGCATGAAATTTGAATTCTAAGCCGCCCAGAATCTTTGATTAAGATGAGGAGCTATAGAAACTGAATAAATAAAATAAAGTGCTCTAGAACTTTGTGTCAGGCAACTTGCTTTAAAAGGAGGAGGAAATTAGGGGATGTAGTTACAATCTGGAGGCTGTATTTATATAATGGTTAGGATAAATACTCAGCTAAGTCATCCTGTGGAGTTCTTGTGCTTTACTGGGGCTCCTTAAGTAGCAAATGCAACTGACATATGTGAATTCAGTCAGCAAACCATAGTTTAACAAACTATGCTTATTTAATCAACAAACCATAGCACACAACAAGCTATGGCAGGGCTTTTCAACCAGTGGTACGGATACCACCTGTGGTACATTGGCACCTGGCAGGTGGTACGCCACCATCCTAGAAAAGTGGTAGCAGGAGAGGGGAATAAACTGAACTGGTGGCAGCACCGCACAAACCTGAGCGAGAGATGGCTGGAGCTACAGGGCTGTCAGGGCTCAGTGGAAGTGCCAGGATCAGCGCCAGGCTCCAGCTGGAGCTCGGTGTTGATCCTGATGCTTCTGCTGAGCCCAGAAGAAGTGCCGATCAGCTGGAATGTTGCAGCATCTCCAGGGTCTTGTGATTTACATTCAGATGCTTGGCAACTGATTCATATTTATGACAGTCACAGTGTCCCAGGGTCATGTGAAGTGACCAAAACCTGCTGCAACCACCCAGCAGATGGGGGGGGGGATAAAAACCAAACACCCCCCACCCCATCCCCGCTGCCAATTCTCAACAGAAATGCTCACAACAATGAAAACTTCAGACAGGAGGAAGAGCGTGGCCGGGCGGGCAGGCAGGTGTCTTGCTCGGCTGTGGCTTGGGGGGCACTTTTTCAGTGCCATTTTAACTTCGAACAGTCACTAAGCGAACTGTTGTAAGTCAAGGGCTATCTGTACTTTATCACTTTTTTCCTTTTTTTTTTTTTTGATCATCAAATTTTTGACCCCTTGCTAGGCGACTGATGATACTCGGATGTTGCCATATCCTAAAAGTGGTACAATGGGTGAAAAAGTTGAAAAGCCCTGAACTACGGCTCTTAAGGAACTATGGAGGAGAGCAGCACCTGTGTTCAGCACTTGGGATAATTTTAGGTTGCATCCAGGGCTCTCTTATAAGAGGTATAAACTGAAGAGACAAACAGTACTGCAGTTGCCTTGCTGTTTTTTGAACTACCCATCCATAGATATTCCCATGGAAATGAAACATGTAGCTTTCATTATAGACAGAAGCCAAAAAAACAGAGAAATTCATTGTTATGGAACAAAGCTAAAAAAAACTTAACCATGATATACATGGTTAAAACCTTCACATCGCTCAATCGTCAACAGAATAAATAAACTTCAAGCTGTTAAATAACACTATTGTTAAATAACACTATTGGTTATACAGCAACAGATTCGACTCAAGGCCACTAATTCCCATCATCCCCTGCTTCCAGCAGGTCCCCACTCAGATATATCCCTTTAGGTTCTGTCTCTTCATCCTTAATTTTTAAAGTTCTCCCAGACATCATAAAAATCAACTCTAGCTCTGATGAGCATAAAATATATTTATTTGCTTGTTTAACTTAATTGTTGACCATCAAGGAGACTTTCCAGTCATATATTTCTACTGCACAAGTTTCTGCAAGGTAATTGTGTCTAGAAAATGATAGGATAGCATCTTAATCTTCTTTCATACTTAAGAGTCTATCTGCTTACTCAGATAATTAGTAACTGGTTAGATTACATCAAAAACCATGGACCTCGAACCTTATTGCACTTAGAAGTGATTGAGGTAGGAAGAAAAACATGGAACTGGTCTGTAGTGATGTTCGAAAGCAAAGGAATGATAGAAGATGAACTGGATCTTGCTGCCTTCCGGATAATCTTTGGAACATGCTAAATTAACACCGTGCAAGCAGATGGATAAACACTAGGACAGAAGCAAGAAATTGAACTGGAGAGGTTGGGATGTGTGACATGATGGGAACACTGAAGATCTCAAAGTTATTTTGAGAACAGTTTGGGACTTTGGCTGAAAAAAAGCCCTTGCTGAGTTGAGAACGAGGCGCTGATGCACTCAGCCAAAATTTAAAACTATTTCTTTGGTAGTGACATTTCCACATGGGAAATAGAGGGTCCACCCATTCCCGTGAAGCTTAGGTCTGCTACCAAAGGTCATCTGAGGGCAAAAAGGTAGATCTTTTACAAATGTCTAACATCACAACCTCAAGCCAGTCAACACAGGGCCATAGCTTGATATTGCAAATGTCCCGAGACTGACACATCTGAAATCCAGGAGCTTTCCAGTCCACAACCGACATTCCTCCAGAGCATCTCTCCACTCAGGTTGTCCTGTCCTTCTGGGCCTACTTCTCCACTTGCTTCTCTGCTGAGATCTCTTGCAGCCACCTGATTGTGCGATTCCGGCTCTCTTCCCAGGTGAAGCGAGGTGTGTATCCAAAGTGCCTCAGGGCCTTGTTAGTGTTTACGGTGAAGGTGGTGCTGACGATCACCAGGGTGTAGGTGTTGAGGATGGGGGCATACACGCAGAAGGGCTTCAGGAGCCACTGCAGGATAACATTGACCAGAGCTATCAGCTGGAGGAGAAAGAACGGCACCAGGGGACGGGAACCCAAGAGGCGAAAGCCGCACGGCTTCAAGAACTCCATGTTAAAGTCCTCGTAGCTCTTGTAAGGAGAGTCATCATAGCAATAATAAACTTGGCCCCCGATGGTTGAGGGGTCCTCTTGGATCTTCCGAGCCACCAGCAGATGCATCCAAGCCACGTTGCCTACAGAAGGGGCAAGTTGGGAGACCAAAAAGATAAATCAAGTGAGGGACGTTTCACTGACCAACACCCCTTTTGTGAAAAGACAGGGATAACAGGGAGACACAGTAACAGCAGCATTGTTTACTCAAGCCAAGACAGTAGGAATAAGATCTCAAACGTGTTTTTAAAAACAGTGCTTCGTACATTCTATAAATTAAAAATCAAACACAAGATCCAGTCACACAAGACACTGAAATAGACACAACAAATTGTGTGTGTGTGTGTGTGTGTGTACAAGCATGTTAATTTTTGAGAAAATTAGAACAATCAGTGAAATGAGTTGCTTCCAGAAGTTGTGGGTGCTCCAAGAAGAGATTGGACAACCATTTGTCTGAAATTATATAGTGTCTCCTGTTTAAGCAAGGGGTTGGACTAGAAGACCTCCAAGGTCCCTTCCACCTGCTATTTTGTTATTTCCCAACTCCTAGTGGGAATGGGGATTTTTGGGAAGGAGTTACGCATTGCTCTCACTTATCTGCAATAGACATAGCAAATAAATCCAGCAGCTAAACTGAAGTGGTTTTCTTAAAAAAAGAAATATCTCTTACAACAGGGTTTTCACGTTTGCCTGTCCGAATCCCCGAGGGAGTCCTAAGTAACTTCTGGGGGGCTACAAACTAAGCTGAAATCTGATCAGGCTTACCCAGACAAAATGCAAACAATGTCAAGACTCACTGCAAACTTTGCTCCTTTTTTGTGTGTGTGCAAAAGAAGGGAGGCCGCTGGCTTGGAAAGTCTGAGAAATGCAGTGAGAAATACTAAGGGGTGTATTTGTTTTTCCTCTAACTCAACGAAAACATTATTTTTATTCATGGGGAGAGGAAAGTTTGCATACACATCCATTCTTTCTCTAAGGGCCCAGCGTACGCCAAACTTTGAGAACCTGCCCTGAACAACAATGTCAAATTAATAACAAAATGAAATTCAATGGTGAAAAAAGCAAGGTTCTACATTTAGGCAGGGCTTTTTTTCTCATAGAACACCCAGAACGGAGTTCCGGCACCTTTTTTGGATGGAACATTATAGGGTAGGCAAGGCGGGTTGTATGATGTATGTGAGTTCCGGCACCTTTTTTTTTTTTTTTTTTTAGACAAAAAGCACTGCATTTAGGCAACAAAAACCAAATGCACAGGTATAGTATAGGGGATACCTTCCTCAATAGTAGTAACTGTGAGAGGGACCTCGGAGTCCTAGTGGAGGACAATCACTTAGATATGAGCCAGCAGTGTGCTGCAACTGTCAAAAAGGCCAACACAGTGCTAGGCTGCATTAACAGAGGGATAGAATCAAGATCACGTGAAGTGTTAATACCACTTTACAAGGCCTTAGTAAGGCCACGCTTGGAATACTGCATCCAGTTTTGGTCACCACGATGTAAAAAAAGATGCTGAGACTCTAGAAAGAGTGCAGAGAAGAGCAACAAAGATGATTAGGGGACTGGAGGCTAAAGCATATGAGGAACGGTTGCTGGAATTGGGTATGTCTAGTTTAATGACGAGAAGGACGAGGGGGGACATGATAGCAGTGTTCCAATATCTCTGGGGCTGCCACAAAGAAGAGGGAGTCAGGCTATTCTCCAAAACGCCTGAAGGCAGGACAAGAAGCAACGGATGGAAACTGATCAAGGAGAGAAGCAACCTAGAACTAAGGAGAAACTTCCTGACAGTGAGAACAATTAACCAATGGAACAACCTACCTCCAGAAGCAGTAAATGCTCCAACACTGGAAGTTTTTAAGAAGAGACTGGACAGCCATTTGTCTGAAATGGTGTAGGGTTACCTGCCTGAGCAGGGGGTTGGACTCGATGACCTCCAAGGTCCCTTCCAACTTTATTATTATTATTATTATTGTTGTTGTTGTTGTTACTGTTACTATTATTATTAATTCACATCAGGCTTGTTTTGTGGGTCTGAATGTTATATCCAAAAGCTCCGGCCACCAAAAGGTAATTCAGAAATGTGCTTGACAGCAGAGGCCTGGGCGATGGTTCTTAAGAAGTCCCAATAAAAGAGAACATCTGCAGCTCAGGGTTTGAACTGTGGGGTCCTTGGTGCTCACTGAACTTATTGTTTGCTTGCAAATATTTCACTACCTGACTAGGTAATATCATCATTGAGAAGGATTGCTGGGTTTGCTCCATTTATTTATAAGAGTTTGCCCTGCCAGTGTTAGCGGAGGTGTGACACCAAATAAACAATCAAGTAGAAAACAATACCCTAATCAAGGGACTACCAAGGGGAAAAAAACCCACACCCCCACCAATAAAAGCAAGGAAAGCTACTGTACATAAACAGGGAGCAAATTCCACCTTCCTTGGCACTGACAACATTATCTAGTCAGGTAATGAAATGTCTGCAAGCAAACAACTAAGCTCAGAGACCACCAAGGACCCCACAGTTCTTAAGAAGTTCGGAGCCTGATATAAAGAAGCACATATGTACAGGAACAGCTTAAATGGACTCCAGAAGATGGTAGAGGACAGGAAGGCCTGGAGGAACGTTGTCCATGAGGTCACGATGGGTCGGACACGACTTCGCAATTAACAACAACAAATGTACAGGAACATGCACAAGAAGAGTAAAAAAAATCTGAATAAAAGAAGGTGGGTCAAGAATGCACCAGCACAACTTACCTACATAGACCCTGCCATGCTCGACAGAAGCCGGGACCGCCCGGATCATGTACTTCTTTGTCACCAGCCCTTTCTCATAAAAATCCTTCATCAGCAGATGGTTCTCCCCATAGATGCCCGTCGGACGAAGGGCACAAGTCACTAGCTGCTTCCCGTTGGGCATCTGCGGAAAAGAAGAGATGTGCTGTTGCTGATTGGCAGAATGAGCATGTTGTGGGTGGACAATCCACCATCGAGACAAGCTAGAAGTTGGTGGCAGGGTCTTTATTTAGGTGTTGGTTTGCTGGACTTTCATCCCAAGTTTCCTTGGAGATTAAGGCAAGGGATCTGGCCATCCTTCCTCCTGGCTTCCCCTAACAAGAAGCATGTGAGGTAGGTTAGGCCAGGGGTGCTGGCTCAGGAATTCTGGGAGTTGAAGTCCACGAGTCATAAAAGAGCCAAAGTTGCCTACCCCTGGGTTAGGCCAATGGAGATGACCACCAGGCCCAAAGTCACTTCTCCTGTGAACTTTCACAGCTGAAAGTGGACCACACCTGGGCTTCTCCAATCAGATTCCACTAATAACTCAATGAGCTAGACTGGGCTGAGACCATACATGGCCCAGGGCACAGGTCGGCAACCTGCGGCTCTGGAGCCGTATGCGGCTCTTTGAGCCTTCCCCTGTGGCTCCCAGCCTCCTCTGCCATTTGCAGAGAGAGAGAGACAGAAAGAGGCACTTGCACTTCCCTTTCTCTCTCTCTCTCTCTCTCTCTCTGTGCGTGTGTGTGTGTGTGTGTATGTGTGTGTAAAAAAGAGTGGACTCACGATGTTCTCCGACGAGCTGAAAAGCTTATTTGGGCAGGGTTCCTCTCTTTGCTGCGTCTCTGCAGGAAGCAGGGAGAGCAGGAGAGAGCTAGCTAGCCCAGCTATGCTGACTCAGGAATTTTGGGAGTTGAAGTCCATGAGTCATAAAAGAGCTGAGGTTGCCTACCCCTGAGCTTGTTGGAGAACAGCTTGAAGCCAGCTTGCCAGGTGAGCAGAAGATTGGAGAAAGGGAGAGAGGGGGGGGAGAGAAAGAGAGAGAGGAGGAGAGAAAAAGAGAGAGAGAAAGAAAGAAAAAAAGAAAGAAAGAAAGAAAGAAAGAAAGAAAGAAAGAAAGAAAGAGGGAGGGAGGGAAAGAGAGACAGAGAGAGACCCTTTTGACATCTCAAATGAAGATAACACTGCATATATCCTTTTTTACCTTTATTTTATACACACACACAGACACACACACACACACACACACACAAAATAAAGGTAAAAAAGGATATATGCAGTGTTATCTTCATTTTAGATATCAAAAGGGTTTTGCGGCTCCCAGTGTTTTGTTTTCGGTGGGAAATGGGTCCAAGTGGCTCTTTGAGTGTTTTGGGTTGCCTACCCCTGGCCCAGGGATATTGAGTGAACGTCCATCATTCAGGACCTGGGCCTTCCCTCACCATGATGTATCACTGGCTGTCTTAATCAAGACACCAGCATTGGGCCCAGGAGATGCAGGGTTCAAACCCCACAAAATGACTGGGGAAAAAAAAGACAGCGAAGGCAGTGTTAACAGTACTATACAGCATTGTACGCCAACTAGACACAGGGACAGTTTCTTCCCTTGTGCCCTCACCCCTAATTCTCGCAGCTGACAAAATACAGTACTAAGTGGGGTCCCCCCCCCAATGTGTATGTATATTAACTCATAGGGTGTGGCTGCAGTTTTATTATTTATCCCCTTTATTATTTTTTACTTCCTCCTTTTTATTGGCTGCGCACTTTAGTATTATTATTATATTGTGCTGTTTTGCAAGTACACTGAAGTTCTTCTGTACCAGAGACAAATGCCTTGTCTGTCTAAGCACACTTGGGCAAATAAATAAACTATATAAATAATTATGTAAGTAGGCATAGCTCCTTCAAATAACCTTCCCCATCCCTGTACCCTGCAGATAATTTGACCTGCAATGCACAAATCAATCCACAGCCAGCACATACTGCCTAAAATCAGTGTTTCTTAACCTTGACAATTTTAAGGCATGTGGACTTCAACTCCCAGAATTCCACAGCCAGCAATGCTGGCTGTGGAATTCTGGGAGTTGAAGTCCACATGCCTTAAAATTGTCAAGGTTGAGAAGCACTGGCCTAAATCTTTTGCCGAGCCGCCAATTTCACGGAAGCTGCTACAGATCAAGGGACAGGCAGGGTTTGAGACAGAAGGGCCCCCAAAAGCTTGGTTAATAATTATCGGTTAACTCAGAAGACATTCAAATGCCTCTCTCAAGTTCTAGCTTACCGATTTCCCATTGGCTTCAAGGACCAGCTGCTCAGCCTTGGCTTTGCTAAGTGGGTATGGATGGTGGTAGACGCTGTCATATTTTGTGTCCTCGTTGCCCCTGCAAGCAAGGGAAGAAAGCATCACAGACAATCAAAATCCAGTGCTTGCAACAGGTGGGACCAAGAGCAGCTAACCAGGTTACAGTTAATAAAGTTATGCATCTTAAATACACTTCAGCACTGTTCAGCTAAATCCAGTGCAAATGCTATAGTGGTGGCCGCCTCCAGCATTATTTAGGAGAGGACAATGTTCCTAAACCCTTAAATGATATGAGGAAGAAGGGGGGGGGGAATCTGTTACTTGACTCCCTTGACTCCCCCATGATGGAAAGGGTTGTTTCTAAAAGAGGCTGAGACTCAAGAAAGAGTACAGAGAAGAGCAACAAAGATGATTAGGGGACTGGAGGCTAAAACATATAAGGAACGGTTGCTGGAATTGGGTATGTCTAGTTTCTTGAAGGACGAGGGCGGACATGATATCCAATATCTCAGGGGCTGCCACAAAGAAGAGGGAATCAAGCTATTTTCCAAAGCGGCTGAAGGCAGAAGAAGAAGCAACGGATGGAAACTAACCAAAGAGAGAAGCAACCTAGAACAATTAACCAATGGAACAAGCTGCCTCCAGAAACTGTGAATGCTCCAACACTGGAAATCTTTAAGAAGAGACTAGACAGCCATTTGTCTGAAATGGTATAGGGTTTCCTGCCTGAGCAGGGGGTTGGACTAGATGGCCTCCAAGGTCCCTTCCAACTTTTTATTATCAATAATAATAATAATAATAGGTTTTTCCTATATGCAGCCATTAAAGGTACAAGGATACAGGTAGTCCTTGACTTACGATCACAGTTGAACCCAAAATTTCTGTTGCTAAGCGAGACAGTTGTTAAGCGACCTTTCTTGCCACAACTGTTAGGTGAATCCCTGCAACTGTTAGTAGCCTGGTTGTAAAGTGAATCTGGATTCCCCATTGGCTTTGGTTAGCCGAATGTCACAAAAGGTAAATCACCTGAATCATACATTTGAACCAGTTGCCAAGTGTCCCAATTTTGACCACGTGACCATGGGGATACTGCAATGGTGCTAAGCGTGAAAAACGGTCCTAAGCCACTCTTTCTAAGGTAGAATAATATAGAATAATGTGGAATAATAATAATAATAATGAAAAATCATTAAAACAATGGTGTGTCTGCATAATAATTACTGGAATAAAGCTGTGTTAGCGATCTGTGACTAACCAAATGCGCATTGCACTAGGACAGTGTTTCCCAAACTTGACAATTTTAAGGCATGAGGACTTTATCTCCCAGAATTCCACAGCCAGCAATGCTAGCTGTGGAATTCTGGGAGTTGAAGTCCTCATGCCTTAAAATTGTCAAGTTTGGGAAACACTGCACTTGGAAACAATGTATGTAGCATAACTGTCCATTGTGTGCCCGTGAGAAATGAATCTGATGTATTACAACGTAGATTTCTATGTGTGCCCCTTTGTTCCTGAGAAAGGAAAAGTATAAAACTGTAGTTTAAACCCACCCTCAGAACTGCTTGTCTTCACTGCTTCTGAACCTTGCCGCAATAAATCTCTCTGTTACACCCTCTGGAATTTGTAAAAGTCTCTTTCGTTTTGTACAAGAATTCCAGTGTCATTGTAACTGAACGGTGACCGAATAAATGGTTGTACGTTGAGGATCACTTGTACCCTGCCGTGAAAATTTTTCAAATTTGCAAGCCTGGGGATGACTAAGCTTCTAAACACGAACAACAAGTCAACTTTCCCTACTTTTTAAAAGGGAGGACAGAACCAACAGATTGGCCCACACCCCTAGAGAGCGCTATGCCTTTAAGACTCCTTCTCTGTCTGTCTCCATGGTGTCTGTTAGTAACTATATCCCTGTTGTCATGGCGTTGCTAGGAGAACCCGGGGGAAACCCTTGGGCAGGGCCAAAACATCCCGGGTCTGGCCTAAATCAGGGGAACTCCCTATTATTCACAGCCAGCATTGAAACTCAGTTAACTCTTTAGGTGTTCGCTTCTGTTTAGAAAATAATGCATGTTTAGGCCCTTCTATAGCTAAAACAGTATGAGAAGGCTCGAAAGAATAAGAAACTCCAAAGCTGACCAAATCAGAACATAAAATAATAGGGTTGAAAAAGGCCTCGGTCGTCTTCCAGTCCAACCCAAGGGAAATTCAGCAGAAATTGTATAAAAACTCACCAGTTTTCTTCGGCTAATGGAGCGCGACATTATTATTATTATTTTTTTTAAAAAAAAATGTAGCTCATACCTGTAGAAATGGTGGCCTTTTGTGTTAGGTCCCACGACCTCCATGCTACTGGTGTAAATCAGATACTGGACTCCTTCTGTGACACAGGCCTCAATTACGTTATTGGTTCCTAGCGGGAAAGAGGGGAAAAGGGGATAAGATGAGGAGAGGAGGAAGAAGAGGAGAAACAATGCAAAACGTGGCAGTCCACCACGGCCTTCACCTGCTAGAAAAGAAACAGTTCTGCCAGGAATGAAAAAAAAAGAAGGAATTTGTGAGGTTTTTATTGAGTAGGAACCAATCATTTTTGCAGCTTGTTTTCCTGCAGAAACCAGAGGCTAACTGTGAGAGGGACCTCGGAGTCCTACCGGACAATCACTTAACCATGAGCCAGCAGTGTGCAGTAGCAACCAAAAAAGCTAATACAATCCTGGGTTGTATAAACAGAGGCATAGAATCAAGATCACGTGAAGTATTAGTACCGTTTTATAAAACCCTAGTAAGACCACGCCTGGAAGACTGCAGCCAATTTTGGTCACCATATCACAAAAAAGATGTTGAGAGTTTGGAAAAAAAATTTGGAGAAGAGCAACTAAAATGATCAAAGGCCTGGAGACTAAAACATATGAAGAACGGCTGTGGGACTTGGGCTTGGCTAGTCTAAAGAAAAGAAGAAATAGGGGAGACATGATAACAGTGTTCCAGTATTTTAGGGGCTGCCACAAAGAAGAGGGGATCATGTTATTCTCCAAAGCACCAGAGGCCAGGACAAGAAACAATGGTTGGAAACTGATCCAAGAGAGAAGCAACCTGGAATTAAGGAGAAACTTCCTGACTGTGAGGCCAATTAACCAGTGGAACAGCTTGCCTCCAGAAATCGTGGGTGTTCCATCTCTGGAGATTTTTAAGAGCAGACTGAACAATCAATTGTCTGAGATGGTATAATGACTGGACTAGAAGACCTCCAAGGTCCCTTCCAGCTCTATTCTGTTCTGTTCTAGTCTTTATTCTATTCTATTCTATTCTATTCTATTCTATTCTATTCTATTCTATTCTATTCTATTCTATTGTATTCTACTATTCTATTCTATTATTCTATTCCAGTGGTTCTCAACCTGTGGGTCGGGACCCCATTTGGGGTCAAACGACCATTTCATGGGGGTCGCCAAACAAGGCTGTCCGCCATTTTTCCCCCTTTTCTTTGGCCATGCCCCTGGCACCCGGTGATGTATAAGTGGTTGGGGGTCACCACAACATGGGGAACTGTATTATGGGGTCACGGCATTAGAAAGGTTGAGAACCACTGTTCTATTCTATTATTCTATTCTATTATTGTATTCTATTCTATTCTTCTATTCTATTCTATTCTATTCTTCTATTCTATTCTATTCTATTCTATTTTTTTATTCTATTCTATTCTATTCTTTGCAGCAGAGAACCTGGAAAGAAGTAACTGGGGAAGTCAAGATTATTTTGTAAAAGCCAAGATACTTTTGACCTTGGTCAAATAGCCTTTCTTTGCAAATTAAGCCATTTCCTGCACATTTGTCCATATCAGACATTACTTGGGTGATGATTCAGCTGGCGGAAAGGCATATTATTGTAATTCACCAAATCTATCGCTGGGAGTAGATGCAACACCCCACCTCTGTTGCAGTCCTGGGAAAATAAACAGGCTTCCAGGTCTGCCTGGAATGACAAGGTCAGCATGAGAATTCTCCCATGCCATGATTGTATGATAAGGGTGCAAGCTATCTACTGGGCTGTGTGTGTCTCAAGACTCCAGACGTGAATGGTAACAAAAAAAAAAAAAAAAGGATTTGGAAGGGATTTGTGCAAACCCCATTTCCCAAGTTTGTGAACCACAAGAAGCCTGAAGCTAGGACTTCTAGACAACCCTTAGGAGATGTGTGGGACCTAGAGGCTATATTCACCCCCCCCCCAAGTTACAGAAAACAACAGCTGTCTTTCAAATTTGGCAGCATAATGAGAACCTGATCCAGTCTAAGCCTCTGTAGAGATAATAACAGGACATGGTCAGATGGCCCAGCCACTTAAAAAAGCTACTTCGTACTCCTATGATCCATTCTCCTTTTAACCACGATCCCACTCTTTCAGGGAATAAGAGATCTCATGTTAAAGAAGTGTTTACATTTTAGGTCAGTTATCTTTTTTTAGGTCTTTTTCCTTCTCCAAATTACTAATTCTGTGTGTGTGTCACGGTATGTTTCTCGGCTATTTTAAAACACTCTTTGACTCACTTCAGAGCAATTCTGTCTCAGTAAGTATAGCACTCTAATGCAACAATAGATTGGATCCTGTACTAATTAGTGGGTTGTCATGAGCAAATTGTCAACGTTGGAGGAAACAGGTACAGGGCCTGGATGGTGGAACCATAAACCAGCTACACCAGTTGGATTTGCAAGGCACAGCTAGAGAAATGGGCTGGTTCAGGATTTCATGAGAAGACAGCCAACAGGGATTACAGCGTTCATTTTCTAGCACAGTGGTGGCGAACCTATGGCACGCGTGCCAGAGGCGACACTCGGAGCCCACACCAGCAGCCCCCCCCCGGAGGAGAGTCGCCCCCGAGTGCGACCTGTGCAGAGTAGCACAGCCAAGGATATGGCAGCTGGGCAGCGGGGACAAGACTCCGCCGTCACACCCCATTGTGCATAGCTGATGCTGCAGGGTGCAGGCGGAGGGGGGGCTGCCATGGCGTTGCTGGGCCACATGGATGATTTGCGGCAGGCCGTAGAGGCAGTGGGTGGCCCTGTGGGTGGGCGGGGCACAGGGATGGAGTGGGGTGGGCGGGGCAGGCCCGGGTTTTGGGCACTCGGTCTCTAAAAGGTTCGCCATCACTGTTCTAGCATCTCTGGAAGTGCTTCTCAATGTTGGCAACTTTAAACGATATGGACTTCAACTCCCAGAATTCCCAGCCAGCATGCTAGCTCAGGAATTCTGGGAATTGAAGTTCACACGTCTTAAAATTGCCAATGTTGAGAAACACTGATCTATAGATTTGCTAAGGGAAAGGGGAGGCATTTGAGATGAAAATGAAGTTTGTCAAGGAGACAAGATAGAATAATCAAAATGATTGAGTTCTAGGTGGGCTTCCTTTCATAAAAATAAATAAAACACAATAGGAAACTGACAGGTGTCAGGTACTGGAGGATCTGAGGGGCTCTCCTTTTTCTGGCTTGCAAATGAAAGTCTCTGTTTATAATAGATTAACCCAGAGAAGGAGAATTTTACAGGGTGGGAAACTATTCTCTTTAAATGACTTTGCTATTTAAACCATCTTGGTCTTGTCCAAAACATTTGATCTTTTGAAATACAAACGTGCAGGCTTTCAGATTAAGTGCAATGCCAAAAGTCAAATCTCAACCCAAAATTGCTGACGTACTGCATTCATTCATTTATTTGTTCATTCTTGAGAACATTTTTGAGCAGATCTTCCCTGAATATAAATAATAACAATTAAAGAGAGATATCAGGCGTATTAAAAATGAAAATTAAATAATAATTAATAATAATAATAATAGTAAAGTTGGAAGGGACCTTGGAGGTCATCTAGTCCAACCCCCTACTCAAGCAGGAAACCCTGCACCATTTCGGACAAATGGCTGTCCAGTCTCTTCTTAAAAACTTCCAGTGTTGGAGGATTCACAGCTTCTGGAGGCAGGTTGTTCCACTGGTTAATTGTTTCTCCTTAGTTCTAGGTTGCTCCTCTCCTTGATTAGTTTCCATCCGTTGCTTCTTGTCCTGCCTTCAGGCGCCTTGGAAAATAGCTTGACTCCCTCTTCTTTGTGGCAGCCCCTGAGATATTGGAACACTGCTATCATGTCCCCCCTCGTCCTTCTCTTCATTAAACTAGACATACCCAATTCCAGCAGCTATTCCTTATATGCTTTAGTCTCCAATCCCCTAATCACCTTTGTTGCTCTTCTCTGCACTCTTTCTAGAGTCTCAACATCTTTTTTACATCGCAGTGACCAAAACTGGATGCAGTATTCCAAGTGTGGCCTTACCAAGGCATTGTAAAGTGGTATTAATACTTCACGTGATCTTGATTCTATCCCTCTGTTAATGCAGCCCAGCACTGTGTTGGCCTTTTTGGCAGCTGCAGCACACTGCTGGCTCATATCTAAGTGATTGTCCTCCACTAGGACTCCGAGGTCCCTCTCACAGTTACTACTATTGAGCAAGGTACCCCCTATACTATACCTGTGCATTTGGTTTTTCTTGCCTAAATGTAGAACCTTACTTTTTTCACTACTGAATTTCATTTTGTTGTATGTGCCCAGTGTTCAAGTGGTTGCAAAAGGTGATCAGATGACCCTGGGATACTGCATTGGTCATAAATGTGAGGTCAGTTGCCAAGAATCTGAATTTTGATCAAATGACTATGGGGCTTCTGCAGTGGTCAAAAATGTGAAAAAACGGTCATAAGTCACCTTTTTCAGTGCCATTGTAACTTTGAATGGTAAGTAAACAAACTGTTGTAAGTCACGGGCTGCCTATATATTTCAACAAAGGTTGGAAAATAATTTCAATTTTGAGGCCTCCTGAGAGGGTCCTAAGGCCACATTTTAATACTGTTTTCCTACCTAAGCTCCTTAAATTGTATGGACAATAATCCTAGTGGATTCAAAGAAGGGATTTGCTGAGATTTCAAACTAGGGAAAGCCAAATGGAAATTCACCCTGAGTGAATGATGATCCTACCTCACAGGGTCCTTGTGAAAACAAGAAACTGTACATGTTTAAAATATAATAAATAGAGCAGCCCAGCATTTCTCCTCTAAAGACCGCTCAGTTCTACTTCCCAACAGGTTGTTACTTTGGAAAATAATCATTTATCATCCTGACAACTGAGCCTGTTAGTTGGTTCCAAGAATAATGCTGCAAAAGTCTGAATGGAAGACAACAAAACTCCTCTTGGATCATCCTTCGCTTGTTTGATCCACCCTGGGACATTAATCATACAAACAAAAGAATAAAGATGCCTCTTATGTGGGTGTTGTTATTCTTGCTCCTGACTCATTTGAGGCACAAAACGTCTCTTTTAAAAGCCCTCTGAAGCGTCTCCCAAATGCCCAGCAGACGCGTCACATTAGGCTTCTGGAGC